CTCTGTTTACAGTTACAAATCACTGTGTTGTGAAATAAAGATTTTTTGATGTTGATTTTGATTTGAATCGTTGAATATTGTTTTTACAAGTGGGATATCATACATTACAACAGCATTCTATATTAGAGCGAACTAATGAAAAATAAAGAGTATTTAATGCAATGACGGATTTAAATCCTCTGTTGTTTCGCAGCATAAATGAAATCATCCTCAAACTTTTATTTACAGCTGTATCAATATGCTCTCTAAAATTAATTTTTGAGTCAATAAAGTCACCTAGATCACGAAACACGTTGACCTTTTTTAGTTGCTGTTGTGCAATGTTATAGCTAGTTTGAAATTTATTGTATTTTCGGGAGAATTTGATGTAAATACATTTTTGGATATTCAAATCCTTTCTATTAAGCTGGCACTATTCGTAAAATTTGTCGATATTATCTTGTAAAGCTCTTCTGTAAAGCTTTTGTAGTGTATTTAATTTTATGTAATTATTTTTTATCGTATGTTGTTTAGTGGATAATAAAATAAAATAAATTAATAAAATACAACTCGCATCCAATGACAACTAATGTGTGGCGGCGCAACGTAAGGGATAACCATAACCATAACATCGTTTCATACCGTAGGTGTTGTAAGGGACGACTATAGGAAATGCCAGAAATATCGTATGGCTTCCAGTAGATGGTGCCAGTTTAACAATTTCATTTACACTAAACGTGTAGAGAGAGCTTGAGACCAAGTCTTAAGCCCAGCATGGGTAAATAGAGTTTGAGTTATTCGGAAAGGATTAGTCGCTTAAACGGTTATTAGTTAATTAAAAAAAAAGCTTGTAGAAGATTTATAATAAAAGGAAATAAGGATAAAAAGAAAGAAAATACATCGAGTAAATTATAAATACTGAAAACAATTGAAAAATAAGTATAAAATTAACAAAATTAAACTTATAACAAGAATATTTTATAATTTTTCTGTACATATACATATATAAACACGTTTAAAAGAATTATCGCGAATAATCAAGGTGTCTGAATAACGCCGTCTATTGGTCTGCTTATATAACAATAATATCCCCTAAACCAAATTACGATCACGGCATCCAGTCATAACGGTGAGAGAGTCCTTCACTCTCATCCAGCGAGAAAATCCAACACCGAAAGAAGATCAGCAAAACCAACAAATACATGTGTTTTGTAAGACATATAGGAAACACTGCCAACTTACTGACTCAGGACCGCTTCTGAGAATTTCTTGACAGAAAAACCAAACAACAAGTTTTTAGTCTGATCCGTGTAATTCTTACCCTAGACCGCATGAACAACAGTCGCACATATAATCAGTAGACCAACAAGACAGTTGAACAGATGTACAACTCCCTCCTTTTACACCTGTACAACTGCTTCGTACATCTGTATGAGGATTCATACAGACGCACGTTAAATGCCGTACTAAGTTCTTCTACTAGATGTGACAATGTTGAAATCATATTTTTTCTTCCTCATTAGCTCGCCACAGTCTACTGCGGGATATGAACTATTCCATATCTCTGGAATTTTTGTAGATGGTTGAAATATTTACTCCGTTATAGTCCATCTGGGTAGGTTCCTAGAAGAACTCTAAGGTAGAAAAGAATCCTTGCTTATTCCTGCAACCGCAAAATAACAGTAATAGCGCTGCTGTGGTCATATAGTTTGTAAAAATAATTTTGTTCGCACTAGCGAACAAAATTGACTATCTCGTGCTATCTTTACAAAAGTTGTTTCATTCGTGTGCCTGATTTACTAATATGTGAAGAATATAGAGAGCCATTATAATTACGGACTTTGAAGTATTCAGGTCTAAGAGACCTGAGAGGTGCAACGAATCTGTAGCCTTTTTTATGAAGTTGTTAGTGCAGGTGCCCATAGGATGCGGTAGCTACTTAAATCAGCTGTGGTAGCTACTTGGGCTGTAATATATATATATATATATATATATATATATATATATAAAAACTTGAGAGACTATATATATATATATATATATATATATATATATATATATATATATATATAGTCTCTCAAGTTTTATAAATGGAACAGATTTCAAAAATATTAATAATATATAAATGGGTAGTAATTTATTGATTCATACAGACAAAATTTATTCATTACAAAATTGACATAAAAGTACCTACTAGAAGTTACGCACCTCTAACAGTGCTTCCGTCTGAGTATTTTACGTCTGTCGTAAGGATATGTTTACAGTGCCGACTAATAGAAGTCATTAAATTTTTTCCTTATTTTTATAACTGCCTATTATACATACTCACGAAATAAATTCTACATTAGCTAATAAAAGTCCACTTTAAACGAGATGATTACAACGCAATTTATTGGTAGCCATGATATTTCTCTGGCATTCCCTTTCGTTGTCTCTTACAACAACTATGGGAAGTACTGAAGTGGTGGATATTCATACGCTGCTACCACACGATAAACGGGACGAGGTGTGTATTGAACTTCTCTCATATTTTACAAGGGAATGGAGCATAGAAAGAGCTTGTCAAACTGTTCGGCACTCACTGCGGATTGGGGAACTACGTATCACCCCGATATATATTTCATAATTATTTATTAAATTCATTAATGATTCTCATAGGGAATTTAACTAATTTTCTTTTAATTATAAAAGCGTCACTGCTGAATAACGCCGAGTTTATTGCTTAGTAAACATTTGAAACTACTCTATAAAATATATTTGGCGACTATAGCCAAATACTGTCATGAATTTAATACAAACTTTTTAAGCTTATTTCTAGTGATTAAAGGAGTGTTAGTAAATGTTAATACCGCAATACCGCAATTATAATTTATTTTTTTCATAATCCTTTAACCTTTCTGAGGCATCAACGTCATCCTTAGTTAATTTTGCAGAATTCATGGTTCGTATAAAAATGTTGTGATCTAAATACGAGATATGAGTTTAGATATCTTACATTCCTGTCGAATGGATCGAAACGCGACGTAAGCTATTTAATTATATTGTTTGTGTTTTATTTGCGTAAATATAAGAAAACATTGTTTTAGGTAACAAATATTGGGGAGCCTTCAAAAAATATGTTTGCTAATAAAAAAATTAACTCCATAATTTTTTTCTAACATTTTATGCATGTTTTACGTGTAAAGATTTGTCGGTTATCACTTTAAATGGCCGATACTTAATTTAAACAAACCTTTTAATTCGTCAACCACCCTTGAAAAAACTAAAGCTTGGAAAGTGAATCTTCATTTAATTTACACTCTCAACATATTCAAAATATAAAAATAAATGAGTTGATAGCTCGCTACAACGCTTATTTATTTCCTTTACTTATCTCTCGTTTATTCACAGCGTTCAAGTACTTTAATTAGCAAAAACTAAAAGAGCGAACAGTTTACTGAACCACTCGAATGAGATGTTCGATGACATATAATGTACATAAGTAATCAGTTCATTCAATCGAGGTTTTTATTCACAGAGTTTCAAATTATCTTTAGTTATATTAGTTAAACTACCCAGATGCCATTAAAGTTCAGTTGCATCTAGACTAGTTTACTTTATAAGTGTCACAAATACTACCTAATCACTTATTCAAATATCTGACTTGTGAATTCTGTAACATAAACCTCAAAATTGTTTTTTTTTTCAAGTGTTCTTTCCAAGTCATTTGGTTATCTAAAATAAGGTCCAAATACTTATCGCTTGTTACTTCATTGATTACTATTTCATTAATTTTTAGAGGTGTGAGATCGGGTATTTTTTTATTCTTTGCTGCAAAAATCATATAGTTTGTTTTAGCTACATTTATTGTGAGTAGATTTGAGCAAAACCACTTATTTAGTATGTTTAGATCATTCTGCGCGTCTTGATTAATTGATTCAATATTGTTACCGAAGTAAAATAAGCTGGCATCGTCCGCATATAGTAATAGGTCTCCTTTTAGTTCTAATGTGCTTACGTTATTTACGTAAATAAGGAAAAGCAATGGTCCTAAAATGGAGCCTTGAGGGACACCGTACGTTATTTGTTTTAGGCTGCTTTTGTGTTCTGCAAGTATAAGTATCTAATAACGGTCGGAGAGGTATGAATTAAGAAGTTCAAGAAGCTTTGCTGTTATACCTATATCGTGTAACTTATCCAAAAGTTTTTTATGTGAGACTGTATCGAACGCCTTTTTTAGATCAATGAAGATGCCAAGAGCAACATTTTTTTTTCATCTATATTGTTTTTTATTTTGGTAACAAGGTCAGTCGCTGATAGTGTGCTAGCCGTAAAGTGGGTGCGTCTTTTTGCAAAACGTCAGTGGGCGCGTGGGGAGCATTCGCCGCCAATTTACTTTGACCATTTTAACTAGAAATACAGAAATTTAATTTATTTTCTCAGGAATTAAATAATACAATAATAAGTAATGATAAATCAACATATTTATTAAACTCTGTTTTAAAAACTTTGGTTTACAAAAGACTTTAGGAAACTTAATATTTAAATTGTCTTTTTTTCTCTTATCCTACATAATACTCTTTAATACTTAAAAAATGAAGAAAAAAAGCAAAATTATATATTTTCTAAATCGACAGGATATGTTTTATCAAAACAGTCTTCACAAAGGTATGTGCAATGTTCGTTGCATAGTAACTTTGGGCACCTGGAACACCCTCTTTTCGTGCTCCTGTTTTCTTTGAGGGACTTATACTGCATTTGCCTCTTTCCTTGAAGAAGATGCTTATTCTGCTGGTACAAAGCAAGAAATTTGGTTCCTCAGAGGAATATTCAAAGTGTCTATAGAAGACCTTGTGATCATATATTACTTGACAAGTACCATGGCAATTTCTTTCAAATACTCTCGGCGTAGCATCAATTGTTCAGTATTGGCGTTATATATAATTTGACTGTTTATACCAGAAATATTCATCATCAAAAAAAAAAACAACTTCATTGGCCATCTGCGAGCCATTCTTCAACAGAATATTCTTCCTTCATACTTATATCTGAAATGGATGTCCTTTGGCGTCAAATAGGTGGTATTTCGGAAGGCAAACAATTGGAGAAGATACTTTCTTGTTAGAAGCGTCCCTTTTTGCTGACTGTTCTGTTTCCGTGTTGTGCTCACTATGATGACTAGATCGATCACTATCTGACACATATTCATCAACAATCTGTGTACTAGCATCTTCAAAATTAGATATTTCTTCTAGCCAAGACACAATTTGAGATTCCATTTTGTTATTCATATTTATTATTATTAATAGGTACTTTTAAATCCTAAAACAAAAATGTTTTTTATTGTTTTGATTATAAATGCACCATAAAATATAGTCTACCCTTCAAGTTTGCAAAAAATACATTACACAATATTACTTACGTGAGTGGACACACGGTGAGCGATTCGCCGTCCGGTGACACCCGATTATTACAACTTGCTCCTCAAGCGATCCCCCGCGTACTGACGGCATCCAGCCTTTCGGCCAGGGGGGGTACACTTCCATACTTTAGGTTGCGGTTCAATAATTTGCAAAGACACTAGTGTCATCTTGTACTATATCCCCATAAACTTTCAAACATTAAATTCTAAAAGGTGAGCTAGATGGCGACTACATCAATTCTGGTTATTCTGGTAATGGCAAGTAGCAACTTTATAAGACATAATGGCTACCGGCGCTGAGCAAGTTGTAGTTTTATTATAGTTTATAAGTAATTTTTGGTTGTTGCTACAATAACTTTAGTTGAGTTGGGATTAGCCCTCTGTTTCTTGTTGTCTGTTTAGATTTTCTTGCTGGAACCACATTGTATGTTTGTGTAGTATTGTGCGAAATAGACGCTTTCATTTATCACTCCGGTAACCCGGTGGACATATTTATTTTGGTTTGGTATTGTATTTTGCGGAATAGACGCTTTTACATCGTGTATGTTAAATATATATAACAAAAATAAATGTAAATATTACTGAAATCTATAATACGTCTTTAATTGAACCCTAATCCCTTAAAATATAAATATAACCGCCTATAGTATAGATAGCTGTATATACATAACTACATACAGCTATCTATAGTCAACATGATATTGAGATTAGTTCAAGGGATATGATATCAGGCGGCGACACTATTCATATTGGGTGACAAAAAATCCTAGGAGATGGCTCTCTATTTCTGTATATATTACTCTACTCTATGCTTTCGGCACGCGTTGCAAGCGAGAGTTGGGGCAGCTACTAAAAAGCGCAAACCTAACGGGCAGTTGTTTTAAAAATTATAACCGTTTTTTTAGCGCGGACGGCAAAATGCTCATAGCGCGCCCACTCTAGGGTTAAATTTGGGTCTGAAACCATATTGTTTGTGATAAAGAAAATTTATAGAGTATAAATAAGTCTCAAGTTGGTTATAAATAATTTTATCGAAAATTTTAGAGACAACGGGAAAAACCGATAGAGGCTGGTAGTTGCTGGGGTCGGTTTTGCTGCAAGATTTGTGAATAGGTGTAACTTTGGCGATTTTGAGACTACTGAGAAATATACCTTGTTCTAGACAACTATTTAAGCATCAAGTTAGTTCTAGAGCTATAAGGTTTTTAGGCATTTTATGGACTTAGTATTAACGTTATAAATGCCGAAGCTAGTATTTTTATCTTAGTTGTTTATTATTTTAATTACCTCCTCAACTGTAGCCGGTGCCATTGCCGTTAGTCTTTTATCGTTGTTGTTAACTTTTGCATTTGTAAAGATTCTGTTATCATGGTACTGAAGGGGAATTTTTTGTGTTAGTTCTGCTCCAATAAATGAATCAGAAGTGGTTGAAACATTTGCAGATCTCTTTTGTATCGGTTACCGAAGTTCCTCCTATTAGTAATTTGGGTGGTATCGATATTTCTCTAAATTTGTTTTTGCTGAGGTTATTTATTAATTTCCACATTTTTATTTTCTTGGCTGGATTGCATTTATAATCTGTAAATTTCTTGTAGTAGTACTCTTGTTTCATTCTTTGAATTTTATTAGCAACTGAGTTCTTTTGTTTTAGAAAGTTGTCATTGGCGAGCTTATTCTCTGGATGGCGTTTGTTATTGTTGCCAGAGTATGTTTTTATAAGTAATATCCTTAATTATTCCCTTGTTAATCCATTCCTGTTTCGGTGGATTTTTAATTTTGACTTTACAATTCTCTATACTTTTCATTAGTTTTTTCTTCAAATCTTGTGTATTTTTTGTTTTCGGTACATTCTACGTTGGATTTTTCTTGCGTTTCATATAGTTTTTTTTGTAATCTAATGCTTCATATTCTATTCTTTCTTTAAATTCTGGTTTGTATTCTTTTATTTAAAAAAATCTGCTTATGGTCTGTCAAAGATGATTCTACAATTGATAGATGGAATTTGTTTTCCTTTAAGTCTGTAGATATATGATCAAGAATAGTTTTACTTTTTGATGTTTCACGCGTATAATACTGAGGACTTATTCTATAATTAATGAGTAGCCGCATTCTAGGAGTGTATTTTTATATTATTCAACTAAGCTGTTCAGGTTAAGCACGTCCAGATTAAAGTCACCAAATACTACGGCTCTTTTTTTAATGATGTAGTTGTAATGAAGGAGTTTCTAGAAATTTGGTAACGTTTGTTCTACCAGGCTTGTATACCGCGCCAATGTTTATTTGTTTCTTTATTTATGCTATGCACCGAGTACAAAAAGGCGGACTTAATGCAACAAGGCATTCTCTACCAGTCTACCTCCAGGTTAAACAGAGAATATATTGTGGGTGCAAAGTGCAACTGAGTTAAAACATCTTTAAGTAGACATACACATTACATATTGCATTACATGTCATAAACATAATTATACATATATATATTATTATATGGATATACATACATGATATATGATATAAATATATACATATATATGTTAAATGCTGCCCTAATATGCTATATATATAAGTACATACATAATTAAATATAGCTGTTTCTGATTCAAATACTTACTATTTATACACTATTTGAAATAAAAACAGGAAAAGGGACGAGTTAGAATTTAAGAATATAAAAAATTGTTAATGACAAACTACTTTTGCAACGCCAGAAAATGATTCCATAGCAAGTGTTTCAACGAATACTTGCTCGTGGCTCCACGTACACTGCTCGGTAGCTCTTTCCACAATCTTACCGCGTGAGACGTAAAAGATTTATACAAGAATCTAGTGTGACAGATGGGGACATGAAGATTAGACTTTTCCGCAGAATGGAGACAACGATTATGAGAATCACCCTGATCCTGAAATTTACATTTCAGATATTCAGGGACAAACGGATCGTGTAAAACTGAAAATAATGTGCACAGTATTCTGAAATATCTGCGATAGCGGAGAGGTAGCCATTTAAGCTGAGAACGATAAGTGGAGATGTGGTCGTATTTACGTAAACCGAAAATGAAGCGTATACAATTATTAAGAAGTCGATCCAGTTTGTTTAGAAGTTCTTGAGAGGCATCAGCATAGCAAATATCTGCATAATCTAAAATAGGCAACACTAAAGTCTGTATTAGAATCACCTTAGTCCCTATCGGTAAAAAATTCTTGAGACAATACAGATAACGCAGAGTGTGAGTGACCTTTTTGCTCACTTCATATATTATGCGGTCGCCAAGTGAGGGTGTTGTCAATAACTAAGCCAAGATCTTTAACAGTTATCGAGTAAGGAATAGTAACATTATTAAAAATTATAGGAGGTAGCACCTTCATATCAATTTTAGACAATCTACGAGAACTACCAACCACAATAGCCTCACACTTTGATGGATTAACCCTAATACCAAATCTGTCCGACTAATAATAAATACTGTTAAGGTCGCAGTTAAGCTTCTTTCACAATATACAATATCTAGTAAGAATTTATCTATGTGTATCCACAAGAACTGGTTTTCATCTTTTTCGAGTTCATCAACATAGCAATGTTTAAGAATGTTGTGGACAAATAGTGATACCCCGCCGCCAATTATATTTTGTCTGTGCTGATAGTAGTGAGTATATCCAGGTAATTTAAATCTCTTGGCTTCATCATTAGACTTAATCCATGTTTCAGTAAGAATAAGCACATGTATCGTAGATTTGAAAGATTCAACAACACACCTCAATTCATCGAATTTTGCAGGCTTTACGATACTTCTAGTATTTGCGTATAAGAATTTTTAAGATTGTTTATTGGTTATAAGGATAATTTAATTGTTTTTTTTATTTGGTAGTAGTGTTATGTTCGTTTGTTTTGTCACTCATGCATCAAACTTTTTTGGTAATGTTTTAATAATTTTTGGTACATTTTTAATATACTTTAACGTATATTTTCTTCTCCCTCTTCAGTTCTACGTTTCAGTTCTTCTTTCAGATGTTTAAGTTGATTTTGCTGGAATGGTGTCTGATCAGCAGAAAATTTAATTTTAGTATCTTTTATGTTTTCTTTGTTGCGCAAAATAAGCTTTACAATTTCTTCCGACTCAAATATAACTTTTATTGGACGATCCGTTCCTGGCTTGTATCTTCCAATGCGTACGTTTATTTTGGTTCAGGGCAGTCTTTGAGTAAGTTTTTGATAATATCGACTACTTTAATTTTGTCTAGATCAATACGTTCCTTGGCGTCCGTTGACTGAGGTTCAAGAATACCAGAAATAACTATGTTCTTCTTTCTCATGCTTTGGTCGTTTAATTCAGATAGTATTTCTTCATAGGAGGGTTTTATAGATGTATCGCTTGGTAGATTTTTTAAGTTTTCTACATTAGACTCCAGTGACACAAATTTATCCCCAGGTTTCTTGCAAAGTTTTTTGAGACTTTGTATTTCGTCCTGAATGTTACTTTGATTTGTGGCTAGGTTTGCTATCCGTTGCTCAGTCGATCGTATAGCATCTCTAATGTCTTGAATTTCACATCTTATCATTGCCATGTCATTCTTAAATTTCATTAGCACTCTCTTTCTGCGCATTAATTGATGAAGTTACGAGTGTCATCATTTCTGTCATTTTTTTCTGAATATCAGAGAGTTGACATTGGACCTGATCATATTCGCCGTCGGAATGCTTGCGTTTATTACGAAAAGTAATCGTTGAGGGTTCGGAGATTGACGCCACTAGGCATGTTTGATAGATTTGATTGGGAACCACTACGCTCAAAGTTCGTGTCGCTTCCAGTAGGTGATCGAAGTTCATTCATGTTTACTTCAACGTAACAAACACTTTGGTTT